CTTTAAGATTTTGCCTTCGTTTTAGATGCCAGTAAAACCATACACTAACGTTCCTGGTACACTAACGTTCCTGGTACTAAACTGATCACAAGATGTTTTGTCATACTGTTTGTCATACATCAGAAGCAAACTATCTTTGCATTCACGTAATCCAAAAATCATAAAAATTTATGTATATTTCAAAATCAATACATATATTATAAAATATCATCATAGATTATTCATATTGAAGTCTTAATGATTAATTATTCAAAAATATTAAATGGCTGTGCCTAGTATGAATACCAAGCACTTTCTCGGGTTACTCGGTCAAAACCGTACCCATAATTAGTAGCAACAAATGTTTGATCGTTGGAATAATTATAATTTGTAAGTCTTGCAGGGACGACAGCCACAGTATCGGGAGGAGGAGGAACATATTGTGTAACTGGTCTTGGATTGTTTGGATTGTATGCTGGATTCTGATTCAGAACAACACGCACGACAAATGCAAAAACAAATGCACAAACCCACTAACACCGTTGGTACCAACCAGCTCCAGATTGGTATTCCTGAATGGTTCTGACTATTTCCCTGATCATTTAACAAATTATCCGGGCAAGATGGATTGGTAGGAACCTTCAGAGGCACATAATTAGTATCTGTGTTTCCATTTTCGTTACAATGGGCTACTTCATCTGTTAGTTTATAAATTAACATATTAGTAGGTTGACTTATAGATGAATAATCTCAAATAAATTACTTTGAGGATTATCAACAGACTGATTATATTTCGTATGACAGTTATAGGCGCTTAAAAATAATAATAGTAGAAATAAGATATTATTGCATTTAAAACGGGAGTGTATCAAGCGTATCTTTAATATTTCACGTACCATGTTAAATTATTGATATAATCTTGAGAACATGGGCATCCTGAAGTTTGATTAAAATTACCGCATATTGGAAAATAATGATTAAATGTATTAGTGAGGTCATTTAAATAATTGTAGCACGCAGTCTCATCAGAAATGACATTATTTGATAACAGTAACTAAAAGCATAAACGAGGAAAAAGTAATTTTTAACATTTTCACTTTTTTACCCTACACTTAACGATTCACTACGTATTTATTCATGTAAATCATAAAAGTGCCGAAGTTATTCTTATTACTAGGATCGGTAATTTATGCTTAAAATATTATGCATGACTTAAATGTAACAAATAATTTTATTGAAAATGTCATAAATATTTGTAAAATTCGTAAATACTCCGTTAATAAATAAGTTGAAACGAATTTCATTAAGTATGCAACGTACTTCATTTTACGGAGCGTAAATTAAGATTAACTACCGAAAATTTATTCTTTTGGTTTATTAAAGTGATTAACCAAAATTTACCAAATTTCTACCCAAATTCTAAAAGTTAAAAATAATATTTAAGTCCAGTGTTGGCATTGGACATATGTCCACCCATTTTTAATGCCATTGGATATTGGATATATACTTGGACATGGTCCAGGTCCAGTATGTCCAATCATCTTATGCAGGCAAAAATTTTTAAAT